GAGTCACGTATGCACTCCGGACATTTATCGTTGGGTGGTCATAGGTTTATCCCTAGAGTGAAACTTGTAAGATCAGATTTGATACACGCTTTGAGTCTCAGTTGTTAAGCTGCCCGCAGTCAACATGATAATTAGGAAACAACAGTTAAACACCTTCCGGTCTTGCCTTCTAGGGTGCACACCGAGTGCAGGCCGTTCAGACAGGCTCAAATTCGACCGAGTGCAACCTACGAGTAACCGTTCACATTGCAACTGTGGTCTAGTTTGGCGTGACAGGTTAGTTCTGCGATGAACGTTATGTCAATGTGTGAGCTGTGACAAGCAGGATATCTCCTGACCCACGATTAGGTCATTGTGAAAACATTTAAGCAATCAGGATATGTGATCGCGGGCGTAGCGTGTTTTTTTGCGTGACAACTAGCTCTTCGTAATGAATCCAGCGGATATGCTTACAGACACATTTGACGAATCCATCGGAGTTGAGCGTGAGACTAAACATAGTCCCAGCGACAGAAGTGGTCAGAATTATTCATTTCTGCCAACCTCGTTTGTTTTGACTGAATCAGGTAACTGAGCGGCCGTTCAACACTCGGAATGCACTCCACATCCTAGAAAATAAGAATTAATAAGCAAGCACGCCTCGACCGCTGGGCTGAATATATATAAAAAATTATCGTGGCCCGGGAACTTCTTTGGGCTCAGTGCGGCACTGCAGATTGGTGGATTCGTAAATAATGAGTCACCACTACACTGATGTTCGTTAACTGCTTCCACACGGTCGTCAAACCTGTTGAAGAAGAGTCAGGCTTGCACCATTAGGAAGACCCGGGGCTACGTTCGAAACGCCAGTAACAGGTAGGGCAGAAGGTGTTGTTGATTATCAATCGTGGTTCCGGTGCCAAGCAAGGGGGTATGACACGCAAAACTTCCACCCACTGAGCCAGTTTTGTATCCTTGATTTCATCAAGCAGACATGTCCAAACGCCACACTTGAAGGATTCAACCTATTTCTTACACCAGGGTGGCTTAATGTGACCCTTAAAATGACAGATGTTTCTTGAATAAATTGGATAAGCCAGTGGCAGAACACTAGTTTTACGTGAAACGCCAGATAGCCGATTACCGGGTGAAAACTTGGACAGGGTTTAGAATCGTGGGCCGCACGACACGGAAATGCAAGAGCTGATCACTTTGATCGACAGAGCTTCAATGATGATTTTGTGTGCTGAGACTCGCTTCTGATGACTTCTCATTCGCTCCAGTTTGAATGTTTATCTATCTTGAAATCATTGTCCTTCCGACGAAAAGGTATCGCAATTGGTGATGCTTTTGTGCTTCGAGTGACAGGATGTTACTCGATTGTACAACACAGGGTCGTGTAACTGTCAATATACGAGAAAGTTGTGACGAATTGGGAACCAGTTCTTTCGGCAAATTGACATGTTATCCTGGTGCCGCATTCGGTTAGGTATGTCGCAGATGCCCACTGGAAGTTTCCATATGTAAGTGGATAACTTGAAACAGAGCTTGAGATGTGATAAACAACTTGTATAGTGAGTCCCCTGTCTGCCCACTCTGTGGCGAATTCCCAGTGTGTCTATACAAACTACACAGACTAGGGAGTATTCAGCTATTTGCCCGTAATTTTTCGCGATTCTCACGGAGGCCTCAACACTTGGGATTGCATTTTTCAGAAATGAGTATTACGATTATTACCGAAACAACGACGATATTGTGAGAAAGGGCTCGTTCCAAATAGCTCCATTGCGCGAGAGGAGCACTTGCCACTATAGTCACCCATTTTATTCTGAGAAGGATTATTCTTACTAATCTTCACGATGGACAGTGTTTATTAGTTGGACGGTATCCAGGAGGGAAACACGCATATGCGTCGATCGTCGCACTTCCTGGACGAGCCCCGGAGAATAAGCTCGACCAAGGTGGCTGAGATCTGTTACCCCTTCAATTCCACCTCGCGTCTGAGATTACACCTTTGGCTAAAAACTCAAAATCTTGACTGAAAGGCCAAACTAAACGTGCAGTTCCTGCTCACAGATTCTAGAAATTCTACACTAATCGCTTTTCTGTTGCGTTGAACACAGTCAGACAACCTATGACTACCAAAACTAACACGCGAACTCAAGTAGTTCTCGATTCTTTTTAGGCCGTTCTGTCAAAACACGTGCCTGATATTGGAAAAATCAGCGGGCATATTTTCGCGCGCACTTACTAACCTCTCACATTTACGTCCTTGTAGGTCGAGTGCAGTCAGCAGCGCAATGTGAAGAACGATTGACGTATTTTCAACAACAGATCCACTGGCCGCCTCTACAAAGACGTGCAGTTTCAAAGGTATTTTCTCAAACCAGTAACCGCGGTGTGAGGCGTTTGGGTGTGAAGTGGTGTGGTCGGTCAATAGAGCGACTCTAAAGCTTAGCTGTGCACACTGTCCAGTATGTCAGAAAATAGGAACTACTCAGTCAAGAGGATGGTTCTGAGCGCCATTGACCACGTGACTCAGCCATATCTGTCAAGGTAGTTGCCACTGTCTCCTCTCGTTCCACGGGCCCCAAACAAGGAGACAAGAGTTAACAACGCAACCGAAATGACTGGTAAGGAACTTCGTATTTGGTAACCAAGTCGTGGATTGACAGCACTGGGATCGTTTTCTTCCCACACAGGGCTTGGCGAAGGAGGCGCCACATGGCAAACGGTCACGTGGTATACAAACACGTTGTCTAATCAGCTTAACATGTAGTGTAACCAGTCAATAGGAAACCAAAAAACATCTGGTTTACCTCAGCACTACTGATATAGCATTCTCACCAGACTGGGGGTGGCGCTTCGGAGGGATCGGAGATCGAAGATCTTCCTCAAGCTTTATTCTTGAATGTCAAGGTGATGCCACGTCAAGTGGATCCGATCAACACCACTGAATTCTGACAATAGTAGCCATTCACACTAGTGAAGGAGTACCTGCAACTTGTGTTCACGCAATGTCTTGTTCGTATTGCTGCCGAAACGCCCAGTTTGGAGCTGCACGGTCCAGCAGTTGGGTTTGCGTTCACCTATTTTAGTTTGTTTGATGAAGTTCGCGTTTCGTCGTATCATACGTGCGCGTGAAATACGTCTGGAGTGCGGGGCACCGTTTCAGGGAACAAAAGTCTTCAGTGGTCAAAAGCTTTCCTGTTAAACGGATGGTGCTCTACTAAATTTGTAGGGTATGTGGCCCCATGTCGCGTGAAAAAAACTCATAAAGACACCGGAAAAGATGGCCCGAACACAAGTTGGTTGATAAACACAGGCCCACCGTACCAAGGTATCTCAACTTGTTATTATGCGGAGATTGCAGACTGCATTTATGTCATGCTCGAATCATCCTAGTTGCAAACGTTTCATATCCAACTTCATCGGACAGACTGGAAACAACTTTCGTGTCATCCACTCTCATTTGAGGTTTTCATAAACGCTTTGGCAACCAATGGTACCGTAGACCAAAAAGGCCACTATTTACGTCCACATACTGACGTGATGACGATTGTTTAGAAGCTAAGTAGCTGTTACACACGCTTACTTCACAATCTATTAATGACTACTTCTAACCCCATTTCGCCGTTTTTTTGACATTTCATGGATCTTGTCCGCTTTTGCACGACACACCGCGGACATGTTGAGGATCTTGGAGCACTATTCTCCGTATTTGCGATAGGCCACATAGTCCCGTGGGATTTATGTGACAACTTACGCCTGTTCATGGTGGTCATTTGGGTTGTGGAACAGTTGATTGCACAAGGGAGACACGATTACGAAGTACCTTATCATCTTACGGTGATCGAGGCAAGAAAAACCAAACCGGTGTCACCTGTGCGAGCAGAAACGGAAGAGCGACTGTGGGGTTGGCGATATTCACTAACCATGCGGGGAAATCATCAGTTTTCTTGGTCAAACTGATTTGAACTTCCACGATAGAACAAATCGGCATCGAGCGAACAAGAGTGCAGAATAGGTTCGACCTGTTAAAGCCGTGTGTTTCGACTGAGAATACGAGAACCTGAACAGTGCTGTGCCGGTGTATTTGCTCATGCACGACTAAACTCACCGCAGCAAGCTCAACACCGAACAATCTCTTTGGGGATGACTAAGTCTACCCAAGTTTGCCCCCAATTAGCTAAATTTGTGCTAGCAAATGGCATGACGGTGTTGGCAGTAAACACAGAAGTGGAACACGTATGGCAAAGGTGCTGTTTACCTAGTGCCAAGTACCACGCAGCATGGTAAACGACAGTTCAGTTATGCGAGATTTCCGTTTACTGAGCCGCGTCCAAGGAACGTTTGTAGGTATCACAGAGGCAATACCGGTAATGATTGTGTTGGCTTTTTGGTTTTCTGAAATGAAGGCTAGCTCAGAGGATTTAACGCACATAGTGAAATGCGCTCATGACTCGATATATTTGTCACGGGATTTTCGTTGAACCAGGCTGAAGTGAAACAGGTTATAACTCAGTTGTCGTTTACTTCAATAGTACATCATTCTAGGTTGCCGTTTATCATCTCCTCGTCTTGGACGGGCCAGTCAGCCATGAACGTTTTACTCTTGGATCCCTCATACTGGCTAGATGTTGATCTTGCTCGATTGGTCAACATTCGAGACTGACCATCAAACCGTTGCTCACCTTGCGGCGGTCTACAGTGGTTTGGTACTACAGACAACCCGTTGGGTCCAATCATCTTCGTGGATATTTGTTCGCTGTGCAACTCAGCCGTACATCCGAATGTCAAACAAACGGTATAAATGCACGCATCTAGTTGAGGTTACTTGAAAATGTTGATCCTAAACGTTTTGGTTTTTTCAACTCTCGCTTGGATAGGAGACGCGGACGAGTGAGTCAAGCAAGATAGAAGCTATTTGCGATACCAATGTTGTGGCTTTTTAAGCCTAGATTGCTCACTAAAAATTGCAAACTAACGTCTTACAAATGAACTTTAGCACTGTCAGTAAAATGTTTGCGGTTCCGCTGGAATACGACAACCTATCGGTAAGTTTAATAGCAGACCATTATCCAATTTTACCTCAGGGATCGTTCGTCACGACAGTGCAAGTTGGCACTCCCCCACAAACATTCTATGTGATTTTGGACACTGGTTCTCCACAGCGTTGGTTGCCGTCAGCTGAATCAAATGATCCTGTCGTAAAGTCGCGAAAACGGAGGTACAAATCGAGGACGAGAAAACCCACGGGAAGGATAATTTCCGTTAAATATGCGAGCATGAGCGTTGTTGGACGGCTGGTTGAGGATACTTTGATTGTGAGTAATGCTAGTTAATTCGATTGTTCACGATGCAGATAGGTGGATACACGTTTCAGGATTTCAAGTTTCTGGAAGTAACCGAGATGTCCCGAGCTCCAGGAAAGAATACACTGTTCGATGGTGTTTTTGGACTAGTTTTGGATATGACATCGCTGGAGTTTCATCCGACACTACTTGGTATGATGCAGGAGTGCGGCCTGATTGAAGAGTACTCCGTAGCATTTCGATTTTGTGGGTAGGTCGTTATGAACCATATAATTCACATATTACCGATCAAATAATGTGACTTTTTTTTACGAAGAATGACACTTTTTTGGTACTTTGTGGCCAGGTATTTATCAATGATCTCATCGCTGTTGCACTAAGCTTTCCACATATTAACCCTTTTGGGATCCAGTCACCATGTAAGCTCCGTGCATTATACACTGTCTGGCAGTTGGCGGCTCAAATCCTCTAATCCATCTACTCCCAAACTACACCAAAGATGATCACCTTAAGAATGCACAAGTTCACCACAAAATATTGGTTTTTTTTATCCACCCTGTTGGACTAAACTGCAACCAGTTTGATCCCCACGGCGTTTTAGTATAAAACTGAGAAATATGGGGAACATAATAGATCATTCTACCGAAATTTTATAGCCTCCTAGTTACGAAGCATTTGTGAAAAATCTTGTGTGGAATATATCCCCAAAAAGATGTGTTTCTTTCAGCTATGTTCTACAAAATACGCTGATTTGTGGGGTAGATGACGATAGTAAACTCTCCGCTTCGAGAATGGAGCAAATCGGTGGGACAAATGGTGGGACCACTGCGGCCGAATCAACGCTCTTGCCTTATCCCCGAATTCCCAAAATGGAAATCTTAGATGCTACTATCAATTCAATAAAAGATCGACCCTGTATCAAAGCAGGGGAACAGAGAATTGACGGTTTGGTTGGCTGTAATCCCTCTCACTAAAATCGGTCTACAAATCACAATGGCCAATGTTTCCGTATTTTCTACTACCACAATTCAAAACTCATTTTCTGTTTTTTTCCTACAAAGTGGATTTCAAAGCAATACACTAATTACAAAGAAAGCTGACAGATATTCCATGACGCCCAATATCCGCCACCCATGTCGGTGAATCTGTATACATATTCCCGCCTAATTTAAACTCACTAGTTTAATCACTCAGAGAAATCTGCGTTGAGATGAATTGTGAACAATTCATTTCAAGATAAGGTGACAATGCTTACCAGCACTTGAATGCGAACTAAGCCGAATAAGATTGCTCACAACATTCACAAATAGTGTTAGTCAGATTGGGATAGCTTCTTGGATTTTGAACTAACCGTTCACCATACTACATCCAAGGAGGTCTGATGCAATAGTGATTAACTCTGTAGCGCAATCAACAAACCTGCCCAAAATCTTACAACATACCCAAATGTTCTTGACGGACAACGTCCGAGAGATCGACGTTTTGGCGAACAAAGTATGTCACGCTTGCGCAAGAGATGCAAACTTAAGCGAGCGATAATGATACCACCCGAATTGGTAACGAGGTGTTCCAAGCTCACCGAACAGACTGATGGCCACCACCAGCACCAGCTTGTGCTGCATAACGACAGGTATTGGAGTGCTTCAGCGCAACCTTTATCCAAGCTGAGTAGTGACCTACAACCCGTTCACACTTCGGGGCCAGAATGACTCACGTAAGCAAATCACAAGATGACTAATTGACCTGCTTTCTGCCCTCATGGACATTATCGCACGACTACGGGGAGCGCAACCATAGGATAAATTATCATAGGTCTAGCTAGTACTGTGCTACCGGAACGCTAATCTTAGGGGTTTGAAATTATCCTGCCAACCCAGTCATAAACTCGTGGCGCAGACGGTTTCGGCCGCTGGGCACGGTGCCCGACATCGCCTCGTGCGTGAACTGGGTCTAGTCACTGCCGTACTCTGTGTGTCAACCCAGTTTCAACCGATGAAATCTACAATCAAGTGTGACTGAACCTGATCGCAGTCAAGTTAGTTTCTCTGGGTAAAAACAAAGGCAATGAAGTTTTGAAATCAACTAAAGCAACAATCTGTGATCATGGAGATGCGTTCATGCGAAATTTCAACCCGGTTCAAAGTGACGGCTTTCTCATTCCGGGTTTCACACAGTGACCAGCTCTTCTCAATACCACCCGGTTCTGGGTGCAGACTATTCAGCCACATCGATCGTGAAACACACTAAAAGTGCATGTTACAAAAACCCCGACGACACCTCTGTGACAGTGCAACAGTACTTTTGTCATGACCACTATCCACGTGAGTGACCGTCGACACAACCCGAGGAGAATATTCTCCGTAGGATAGTGCACGCTGTAGCAGATTTTTAGAATGGTTAATGTTATCAGAGTGAACGTCCCTTAAAACTGAAAACTAACACAATTTCATGCCCCTTGGCATCTCGACAGGCACCGCGTCACCAACTCAGCATATCATGTCTGAAGTTGAGCATGCGTGAATACAGAACAAGACTGTTGGAGGTCCCGGCAGTTAGGTACCAAGTCGTTTGTGAGTACAGAACGTGCCATTTTCGCTAAAATATGTGGGTAATAGAACCTGAAAAATACTTCTTGAAATTAGTCCAATCTATAGATACAATGCTCATTGAGCTCTACCACCCATTCGGTGCACAGCTGTCATGCTCCGAAGGAAGTACAAGGGCCAGGACACTGCCACTTCGCCGAAGCCTAGCCAGGAAAAGTCGAGATGCCAAGGTAGGGTTTCAACCACGTACCTTCCGGTCAGTAAATTCGCGCTCTAATCACTGAGCCATCTCACCTCCAAGTTCGAACCGCAACATGAAGATATAGTGGAAAATCCTGAAAACTTAGATACGCAATACTCGGTTGTAGAAAATATATGAATATTTAATCAGTTTTTCATATTCAGCATTTCAGTGTGTTCAGTAGCGTTACATACCTCTAACTAACAAAGACCACAATCAACGTTGCAATGAGATATGTAGCCGAGTAACCACTTTTCTAGCGAAGTGTGCCTCGCATCTTGCCCCAGCAGACAAGTGCCTACTTGCTCTTTTGTGTCTACGCTAGTCACCTAGTAAACGGTTTCAATTCATCACTGATGAGTAGTCAGGCGCACAAAAATAATACGATTCAACCGGCGCGGTTTCCAGAGTTATATGAGTGCCCTGTGCCTTGCAAAATCCGCTGTTAAATACCGCCAATGAGGCTGACAACTCAGGTTGATTAACGCGGCTGCGCTCTTGAATTCACGATTTCTGCAGTGGAATTTTTACACAGTCCAGTTGTAAGATACATTTCATGCCAGAACAACAAAGTGGCTATTAAGTTATGGCTTACACTCGGTCTCATGTCACTTACTCGTTTGCGGTACTAATGTAGTGTTTGTATACTAATACTTGTGGGGTATGTTCTGTGGACGCCGGTTTTGAACCATAACACATGTAAAAATAGCACACAAAAAATGCTTTCCCAACAGCGCCTTGGTGCGCGCAGTTGATGAATTAAATGACTGATTCAGGGTAGCTCTTGAGGTTGTTTCAGTGCCCATTTCACGTACAATTACCCATATCGCCAAGTTCCACAGCCAACTTTTGCGCACATCCACCTTTAATCAGGAAGAAATCTGTAACTGGCGCAACAGTTTTCGAAAAAGGAGACGCAGTCTTCGGAGATGTCCCAAGCACGTACCATCATGGCGAAGTGGTTTATCTCCCGACGACTCCTGCGCGGTTGCCCACAGTTTCGGTGACTTCGTACGTGATATTTCCAATATCTAACAGGAAATCATTTGACCATGAGCAGGTTATGTTGGCAAAAACAAAAGTCGATAGAATTCATTGGCTGGTAGACTTATTGTTATTCTTTCATTTTCTAATGGCCGTACATAGCATAATATAGCATCATGCTTTTCGTAATGTATCATATCATAAACGGGATATCCAGTTTGGACATGGCGCATTCACCGTCACCCAAGCAGAGGATGCCAGACAGGACTGCGGCATTGATTGGGTCTGAGATAACTGTCCCTGCCGGTTCCAAAATTTACTGAACCCGGCGCGAATTATCAGAGGTCAAATGCTATTCGTATACCCGTATTCGCAGCTCGTTGAAAGTTGAAAAGCCCCGGGAACACCCCGAAATTATTTCAGCTAATCGAAGCAACAACCCTCGAAACTTGCCTATGGGATAAACAATCAAGGATGAACCTTACGAAGTAATCCTCAATAAAGCAGGTCGCCTCAAACTCTGAGATTATCAGTCAGGTTCCCGAACTGCGCTGGACCCTGGATGGTGAGTTTGGTATCAAAATTACACATGGAGACAGACTCGCCGCCTTGGAGTATGCGGATGACATTCTCTTGTTGTTTGACGCCAAGCAACAAGCACAGTCTGCTGTAGGTAGAATTTCCGAAGTAACCTTTTCAGTCCCTCCTGAAGGTTTACGATAGAAGCTAGATGTTGATCGGTCTGTTTATCTTGAAACACGTCAATACGGGCCAACGACGGGAGGCAAAATCTCAAGCATGCACTTCAGAATCATATATCAACAAAAATGACGGGTTTTGTGGTACAGTGCAACCATAAAGGCAGTCAATCTACACCTGAGAAAATCGGACCCCTTCGCCACATTCGGAGAAATCAGACGGATTAGAGTTTGATCACGTATGTCTTGACGTTTCCATCGAGCAGGACCATGTTTGCTATTTGATGGTGCGTAAACGGGGGCATGCCGATGAATCGGAATAAAAAAAGAGCGATAGGTGAAGCTCACCAAGTTGAGATGAATGTAACCTGTGCTTTGCAAGCGTAACCGGAAGAAGGACAATTTGCAAATCCGAACTGATGTTGAAGAAATGCGAGGGAGAGAAAGAGAGACAAGCCACGACTTGCCAACGTAAAATGAAGGTCCCCGCGTTTTTCATTTCGATTCGTCGTTGGGGAATTTTTTATCATGCCTTTAGTGACATTTGTGTCGATGCTGTCATTGTATACTCTGAGGACGCGAATTTAATCCATCCACCAGATGAGCCAACTTTAATCGCTATCCTATTTCATTGAAAGACAGTAAGGTCGCCTCATTATTGATTGGGTTTCCAGGGGTTCGGTCACTTTAATCATCCGTCAATGCAGCCGTCGTGCTTCTTGTGCAACCAGCATTCTCCAAATGACTGCGAGATACATTCCCGTTAGAACAGCAGTCGGCATAACGGCACTTTGGACTTGGGTCACCCGTATATTTCCACAAGGAAGGCACCTACCTCACGCTATATCGGAGTACACGCACTGTACTCACTCAGGTCAAACACTTAGACTGTCCTCCAGAAACAATGACACCCTGGTGCCTGATCCCAATTTGTCAGTCGAAATGTCACGTCGCTCGTCACACAACGTTTCATTCCGGTTAGATTTCAAGCATAGATTACTTGAAGATGAAGTCTCAGTTTGGAAACAAGATTGCCCCTTTTGTTGCTGCTTGCCTGAGTGGTGCTTACTCGTTTGGGCTGAAGATGGACAGTACTATTATGACGATTAGATGAGGGAATTTTAACGAAGGGGCTTGGAATGAGTGTTCTTTACAGGAATAGGCGAGGTACGAGGGTGTTAGGGGAGTCTAAGCGTGGTTGAGACTGGAGAACTACATGCATAGGTTGGCACAGTTCAAACAAATTGCTCGTGGAGGGCAGTATGGGAAAAAATGCGTGGTATGTTTAAGTGAGGAATTAGGTGTGTTGATAGTGTCATCGGTGCAGAAAAAGCACTGGGTTTAACCAGATTTGGGTAGACTAAAACGGGGGAGTGTCAGCTTTACTAGTTTGGTGAGGTTTGGTGATACTTGTCATTTGACGTGAAAATCTGGTTTCTGCTGGCATAACGCGTGTTTTGGCAACCCGAAGTTCAGTTTGACTCTAATTTTGGGAGCTAGAAAGGGTCAGCGCAGCAAAGATCCCTGCATAACGGAGTGACAAGGTGCAGATTGCGGGGGGGTGTCCTTACGAAAACTTTAGTTTATAGCTTGTTTGTACAACAGGGGGCCGAATTGCGACCCGCAGGCTTGTCTGCGATCTTCGATTCCTTATTGTATGTCTTGCGATTTCAAGCAGTGGATTCATCTGCCATTTGTCTGGGGTCAAGCGCCTGACTGCGTGGAAGTTTTTCACAGATTTTGTATCCCATCCTACAGATGCTGTCCCCACAGAGTGCTCCATTTTTAATATCTCCGCTGTTTGCATATTCACTTTGGACGGCCATGGAAAAGCGTTTTAAAGAGACTGTGCTTCCTGAATCACATTCATGTCTATATGTAGTTGCATAAAGCTGTCTTTGCACAGTGGAATGACGGATTTTATCTTCAAAATCTCTTCGGTGTGTAATCACGTGTGATTCGGGCTATAGTCACTTTGTGTTATTCCCGTTCGTCCATTCTTTTCAGAATTCGATATGGAGAGCTCGTGTTATGCAGTGACTGTGAAGCCCTCATTGATACAGGCGGTTATTACATAAGCGGCCCGAAAGAGCTCATAAAGAAAGTTCACCTCCAAATGACTGTTAGAGAGGTCACTGAACACGGAGTTTACGTGGAATGCAAGCATATTCATACGTATCCAGACCTTGAAGTAACCATGGGTGGAACCACTTACAAAGTAACAGCGGATAAGCTTATAATGGAGGTGAGTGTCAATCGAATTTTCCACTACACTGAAACGATTACGTGCACCAGTAACACGAGAACCCCGAGCAGATGAATATTGTACTGTTAATAGTTATTCGTTCAATGCATATGTCAGTGAGATTAAGGAAGTATAGCCTAGAAACTTGGTAATAATCGAGTAGCGTCTGAATGAGAATCCAAAATTAATTTGGTGTTCACAGTTGACGCAACTAAATCCCAGATGTGCTTCTTTTTAGCGCTTCTGCGCTCCTTTTCGCTCCTGCATCCAACCTGGTGTCACAATAGAGCATGAGATTGGTGGAAATCGGTAGCTATTCATCGAACGGTATTCATTAACCAAATAAGCAGTGTGTTGTGCCAAAACCTAAGTGCCTTGCGTTTTTGGGTAGAAAACTACGATAGAAGCAGTACATTCCTCTCAATAGTTTTCACATTTTCGTACTTCGAGAGTGACAGGCAATGCAGTGTTACTAAAGGAATTTTAGGCTGTAGATCTTTGTAGAATTTACATTCATACAACCCTTATTTGAACAGTTTTCGTGCTATTGCCAGTCCGCGATTAATCAGTAATTCGTGTGTTGGTCTGTCAGTATTGGGCGAAACACGTGCGTTGTGCGAATCCGTAGTTATCCAAGAGAATGAATGAGCACAAACCAAGCTTTATGAGAACTTGACTAGTCGGACACGTGACCAATGCGATGGCCCTTCACGTGATCCAGCTGATGAAACCAGCGGAATCGCTCAGGGTGATTCATTGGGTGTCACAGGATCGTTGTGAGGCCTTGTGCTAAAGAGAGTGGGAAGAAACCGAGGGGGATTACTGTTTGGTTAGTTGACTCCCCCCTTGTGTCACCACTTGACACTGTCCTGACTCACTAATCACCATCCACAACAAACAAACTAGTTGGCGAAATACACTCATTTGCAAACGAATTTGGTTTTTCGGGAGACTCATCTGCAACCCAGCTGTCAGTTATGATGTTTCCAGTAGGTTGTGGACAGCTGTCTTGGCATAACTGCGTGCACGATGCACGCGATCCCTCATACTGCACCGCAATGGAGTGTGCTGAACCAAAGAAGCGGCTGCTGCTGTTAGCTACTGATTCTAGTTGCACTGGAAGAACCGCACCTATGGGCAACGTACGGTCGGCTCTTCCATACTACTTTGCGATCTTTCCAGTCAGCTGTTTGGGAATGCGTCTCCAGGTTGAAATGCATTTGTGTATTCCATAAGAGTCGGATGTCTTAAGAGCGTGGGCTCACCCGCGCCGCTGCGACAGTTGAAGGAAATGCTCCTTCAGTCAAATATCTCCCAACGTTGTACACCATATTTGGTTGTGGTGGCTGCTCCCAAGGGGGAAACATGAGCCTGGAAAACTGTCGTTCTGCGGTTGAGTACCCGCCAAACCCAGAAATCTCATGTCTAGGCTAGTTATTTCCTTTACAACCTGGTGGCTACAACATAACTCGATCTCACCTTCAACTCCAAGTGTTAAATAACTACGACGGAACTACAGACAAATCTATGGTACAACATTAATTTTGCGAAATGATTTTTTGAATAGTCCAAACTAAGAACAAAACTCCTAACAGTCAGCGGCGGATACTTTCGACTCTCGTAAGTCGAAAGGCTTCCTAAGATGCTAAGGTTGTTTACAAGGTCTGCCAAATAAACAGTCCTCACTCCGAAAACCGCCAGCCTCTAGCGGATTTCAAATTCTGTTCTATTTCTTTACTCCTCAAAATGACACGCTTTTTAAGGTCTACTTCGGAGAGATTTCCATCCTCAAATGCCGGCGTTTTCGGCTAGAGTCTCGAAATCAGTTAGCTCTGTCTGTACGGTTGATTCCCGGTTGAACTGTTCCGGTATTTCAGGAGGTTCGAAAAAGGGATCGAAAATGCCTCTCAGGATTTATTTCGAAAAATTCTGAAAGTTCGTGGACACTCGGACTGCCATTTTTGCACAACTTTTTGACGGTTTTCCAACTAATGGATCAGCAAATTGGATTTGCAAAGGTGAATTGCGACGCACCTCCTGTGCAGTCTACACCCGTCTAGTTTATGGTCGCTGAGTAAGCTAAAAACAATGCACTGCGTTCTGATTCAGCAATAAATGATGCAAACGAGATGTTTTTATCATTCTGTACCCGGGTTTGCGGTTTTAAGCCTAGAAACCGGTTCCAAGGGCGAGTGTCACAGTGAATGCTCCCGTTTGCCTACTATTAAATTAACCTCTCTCAGTTTGAGTAGTACCTAACAGGGAGAACTATTTTTTATGCGTCCTCAGGAGCGTAATATGTCTAAGCCCGTTGGTGCTTCAGTTGTGGCGTAATTAGATTGATCATCAGAAGGCAACAAGCACTAACAAATGTCTTTCTTACTAGAATTTGATGAATACAATAGTTGGGTGCCCTAGATAAAAATAGATACGATGCGAAAAGTGGAATAAGCCAAAGAGCGACTTATCGTTTGAGGACACTTGTTGAGAGTTCCTGAGTAAAGTTCCGGACGCCAGGCGTGTCTTCTCTGCAGTATAGCTGCTACACGTGTTTCGTAGTTGTCCGTGGAGACTTGCCGGGCTCTGTTGACTTCCTGTCCTGTGCGCGCGAGTGTGTATGCCTATTTGTTGTGTGCGGTATGAAGAGAGAGGTATCCCTTCGTGTTTGATGCTTGCAAGAGCATGAATATAACTTGATTTGATGTGTCGAACGAAGCTCATAAGCCTGGCGTGTTACGCAAGTGGTAGCCGCGTAAAAAAACCGGATGAGGGTTTGTAGTGTGCAGGTTGTCGGCTAAGTTTGCAGATGGGATGGGAATTGTTACGTGGTTTGAGTGTTTGTGACAAGTGATATGATGAGTGACCTCTACATGTCCCAGTCCATCTTGCTGTTAAAAAGGTCAATCGATATGTGCCCCTGTGCTTGGCCAGGTTACGCTCAGTAAACAAAATACAATTAATTCTGTAGTATTGATCTACATCCTCATTGATTATCTCACACAATCAACTGATTGCTGATCGTTCAGGAGAACTTTTAACCAATAAATTACTACTTGTGTTCAGCTGAGTGGTCCGAATTATTGGACAAATTCTCTGCAGAAGCTACTGGAACCTCTTGAAGAACCACAAAAGATTTGGCGTGGCTGCAGTTGCTGGCACGGGTTCATACGTAGCGTATTCGGGTGCGTCACTGGTGATGCCTACACGTGTAAGAACATTTCGTATACTGAACTCGTTGTTCTTGTGGAACATGCCACATGTACCAAGACAGAGTAGGTCGAGGAGATAAAATTGCCGGGCTGACCCGAAATCAGTTTTACTATTTTCAGTGGTTAATCTGACTTGGTTTTTCAAATCGCGGAGAAACGCCGACGTCGGTAATTTACCCCATTCCGGGTGATGTAATAACAAGGCCATCCCCGTATTCATCGACACGGTCATTATATTTGAAGCATCCATGCTGATCCCACACTTCGACTTCCAACGAAAAAAACACAAGCCAAACATGCTGTGTGATGGTTTCTGGGGTTGAGGAGTGGGTCTGGTTCCTTTTCCGAATTCGCTTGTCACACCGATAGCCACTATCTGACGCCCCGGGCACAGAAATTGAGCAGCGTACGTAACAAATTGGGCTCTCTGCGCCCAGTCTAAACTCAAGGGGCTAAGACCGGAGAGTAAACAGAAGATCCAAGTCCAGCAGCACTTCCGAATAATGTCTCTTGATTGTCACCAGAACTAGGGAAAACTAGACAGTTCCGGCCCGGAATGTTCGCATAAGTGGCCTGGAGGCTCCCATCACTCATAAAGTTAACCTTGGAGCACACAGGCAGGAAGATGGCTTATCTGAACAAAACAAGGTAGTCATAAATAGGTGCTCCCTCATATTATGAATAGTTGTTTCCTGGTGTAACTGTGATACTACTGACGGGGAGGCATGCGAGTAGTATGTGTTGTTCTTGGAATTTCGCTGTGGGTCCTTGAAAAGGGGAGATCTGTTGCGGAATTTGTTGAGTCACTCTGTGACGTTTGCTTGGATTTGAGTAATGAATGATTGGAGTCAATGAATATCCAGGAAAGTTCAAGAAGTCGCGTTCAGGAGAAGATGGATGTTCAGTTTTGGTAAATAAGACGCAAATGAGAGTTTTGCTTCCCTGATCAATATTCTGTTGGCATTTCCTAATAAATAAATCCGCAGCGAAGGCCTTCTTCTTTTCACTGGTATGTCCCGTTATGGTTTTAGACTGGCTCACCCGTTGTGTTGATCATGCCCATCGAAAATTCCGTAGGTCACCAGGACACCACGAGTGTGCTATGTTCCCCAGTTCGACGCTATCGACTTCATGCACGCAGGCCTTGACCACTTTTGAGAAGTGAAGCAAAGTGACTTACAAGGGTCTTGAGGCGAAAAGGCTGGAAAATAGCACTGAACGTTTTGTTGACTGTAGGTACGGTGGGGTGATTCTATAACTTTCTCGTACCTGTTTTCATATATTTTCGGTATTTTATGCGTAATTTGATGAATGATGTACGATATATGTGTATCTATGATACACTTGTGACGTCTGACCAGACTTCTTACCCGCAGGCCAAAAATGAGAAGTGAAGTAATGAGGAAAAACATGGCTTGTCTCCTAGAAATATCGCAGCTGTATTGATTAGCCTATGCTGATTCGGCAACACAGAGTCGTTTCGAAGCTGCTACTTTTCACCACGTGGGCAACGAGATCGTTTGTGATCATTGAATCAATAATGTAAAAATCTGATTCTGAAGAACCTAACATGGTCACTCCTGTCTGAATGACCTAATGTAAGTACTCCACATTCGGCTATTATAGAAGTGGCAGTATGAGTCCCGTAGTTTTAGGTAGCCTTATGTCAGGGTGGCTTAAGCTTATAATTTGTATGTTCTCGAGAAAATTAGACATATTTCGACAAATTTCCATATCACTTTGTAAATCAATTAGATTTTCATGGGAGTAAAACCCAGCAGACTATCTCGTTAAGTTGGTTCCTAAGCAGCTCAATGCGCGGTGCCAGTGTGCTTGATGTTTCATCTGGAACGACATTCAAGTTATCGCGGTACACGGCAGAGAGTTTACAGCAAGTGTATGAAAGGTGCATCGCGATAACTCGAATATCGTACGAAATGAAAAACGAGGTTGCCTGGCGCAGGACATTCCATTGCTTAAGGATGACGTCAATGAGTGCTCCAGCTGAGTTTCAGGTGAGTATCTCGTCAAAATCGAATTGGGTTGCCTTCTTTCTAGACATCGTTGGATGTAGGTGACAGTCTTTTATAAATATTTTTTAGCTACTCAGCCCATCGAGTAGCAGTAGCAGCTTGTTTCCACCGTCCTGTTATGCGTGTGATACGATGACTATCTGCGACTCGTGGGCCAATATGGACACTAAAATGATGATTGCGAAAACGTTGAAGCGGTATATGTTCAGATTTCCTTTGAGTTCCTTTGTTTTTCAACACACCGACTCGTGGATATGGACACTAAAATGATGATTGCGAAAACGTTGAAGCGGTATATGTTCAGATTTCCTTTGAGTTCCTTTGTTTTTCAATCAACGTAGCAACAGTCTACCACGACGTTTTAAATCCCATTCAGTTTAACTGCTCATCTATTTTCTGGTCTGATGCGCCGCCATAGAGCAGCGAATGGTCACACGTCCACAGTCCCCACTCATTTTTTGGGTTACTGTGACACATTTGCAACAGCGGGCTACACGGAGCGCTATTTTGATATTTTAAGGTACTTTTATCGGTACAAAAAATGATGATTGTTTTGCATACCTGATCAATGACTATAAGCTGTTTGAAAACGAGAGCATACATCCACAGCAATAAGCCTAAATAATCCTAGTGCGGAGAGAAGGTCGCACTTTTGGAAGAGAACTTTTACTGTCTCAACCAGAAGCAAAATAAGGTGGTAGCATCGTGGAATATATATACATATATA